GAGATGGTTGGACAGGGTCATCGAAGTGACCAACATGAATTTGACAGAACTCTGGGTGGCAGTGGAAGACAGGAGGGCCTGGCGTGCTCTGGTCCATGGGGTCACAAAGAGTCGGGCACGAATAAACACACACACATACTTGGAGGTATCAACACTATTAAAAAGTGTTAATAAAAGTGAGCTGGATCCAGATTAAGTTAGCAAAAGCAGCTTCTGCTAGAATCGGTGGGATGCAAGAGGCGAATAATTGGTCCAACTGACTTCAACAGCACTCGAGTTCAATTTACAGGCAAACTGTGTTGCTGTATCTTCGGAAGTCTGATCACACACTTCATTCCCATGCAAGCCAAGAAACGCACGCTCTTAATGGCAACGCAGCCAGGAGCAGAAGCTTCAAAACACAGAAGGCAGGAATGCAACAGAAGTAATACCTCCTATTAAGCAGAAGCTACAAAGTGGTTGTAAATAAGGCCGCAGCTGCATCATTTCAGAGAAGAAACCCGCACTGACATTTCTAAATTTCTTTCAGGCAATTTACAAGGATTTCTTCAGCTCTAGTCCTAAAGACAGGAAGTCTTGGATCTGGGAAACCCAAAGTCAACAACACCATGTGTGTACAGCACAACTTCATTTTGGTCTTTAAAGGGGCAACCGTGGGAAGTGGGTGAGCCCTACTGGCTGCCTGAATAACGACACTGCTCATAAGAGATGGGCACCAACGACTCTCGGCAGCTTCGTGCTGGTTCATTTTTTGGCTGAACAGGTGCCCAGCGCCTCCTAGCCCCACCTCCAGCATTGGGCACCCACTCAGAGGCAGCGAGAGCCCAGGGGAGGTGCAGCAGGGAGGTCGGGTCACTGCCTGAGTGGGTGCCCATTGGAGGAAGTGGGGCTAGGAAGCGCTGGGTACCTGTTCAGCCAAAAAATGAACTGGCACGAACTGCGAACTGGCAGTTTGTGCCCACCTTTAAAGGGGCAACCGTGGGAAGTGGGTGAGCCCTACTGGCTGCCTGAATAACGACACTGCTCATAAGAGATGGGCACCAACGACTCTCGGCAGGTTCGCGCTGGTTCATTTTTTGGCTGAACTAACGTTTAGTGCTTGCCAGCCCCACTTCCACCAGTGGGCACCCACTCAGAGGCAGCGAGAGCCCAGGGGAGGTGCAGCAGGGAGGTCGGGTCACTGCCTGAGTGGGTGCCCATTGGAGGAAGTGGGGCTAGGAAGCGCTGGGTACCTGTTCAGCCAAAAAATGAACTGGCACGAACTGCGAACTGGCAGTTTGTGCCCACCTCTACTGGTACTCAAGGTTCCCTCTAAGCTGTGCGGCTGTGCAAGCACGCTTTGCTCCCACTCCATGTACCCACAATGTTTCCAGCCCTTTTGCTCCCAGTGGCGGGCAGACCCCCATGCAGGAGGGCAGAGTTGTTTGTGCAGGATTGCAGAGTCACATGTGTAGGAGGGCAGAGTTGTGCACGCCGGGGATGGAGTCGTACGAGCAAGGAGTGGAGTTGTGCTTGCATGGGGCAGAGCCCCAGCCAGTGGGGCTGAAAACTCAAGGGAACGCTGCTGGCTCTTGAACCAAAACAGGGCTTATTAGAACCAGGTTAGGGTTAACAACACAACTGTTTTTGACCAGCCTCCGGCTAGTTTCCTGTACTGCCCAGGAACCGGTTCTCAAGCCCGACGCATCTCCGTCCTTCACCAGGAGGGGTTTCAATCCTGCAGGTTTCAATGAAATTCTCCCTACTGACCCAAAATGTGGGGCTTGAGCAGGGAAGGTCAATGCGTACCGAGAGCAACAAAGGCTGCCTGTTGCCCAAGTCTCCTAGCAATTCACAGGCTGCCGGCTCTGGCATGCCCACTGGTGTCGTCTTCCCCACCCCCCTCAGCATCAAAGCTGAGCAGCGGCACGCTCCCTGGGGCTAGCTTGGTGACTTTCTTCCCGACCATTGTCATTCTCCCCAACTGATGAGATACGGGGCAGCAGCTGCCGACCGAGGTGCCTTTCCAACCTCATCTGTGGGTACCGTGAGCTGCACCAGCACCCCATCCAAAAGTCCTATTGGTATCTACGTTCCCAATCCCTGGATTGTTCCGGTTCCTTAGGAAGCTCTTCCTCAGCATGGAAACCCTTGGCTGGTTATCTCAGGCATTCCCCAGGAACCCTCGGTTACCTCCTACCACGTTAGGGAGCAGATCCCGCGTCTGAAACCCCCCGTTCCACTTTCTCCTCTCCAACCCAGGTCTGTCTGTCTCCAGTGCCTCCTTTATATCTCACAGATCCCAAGATCCCCCCACTGTTCCCTCTTCAGGGCCTGGGCAGCCAACCCGTGCCTCGAACCTCCAGGGTCTTGGTCTTGGTTGAGAGAGAGAGAGAGAGAGAGAGAGAGAAAGTCCCTTATTTCAGGGGTCCCCAACCCCGGTCTGCGGCCCGGTGCCGGTCCATGAGCTTCCCCCTGGTCTGCAGCCCGGTGCCGGTCCGTGAGCTTCCTAGGATTGGGCCGCAGACACAGATCTCTTCCCTCCCTCCCGCACACACGGTGGGCGTGTCGCGCTCGCAGGTGAGCAGTTCCCAAAAGGTTGGGGACCACTGCCCTACAGAGCTTGTGATCTGGAACTCAGTAGGTTCCAGGTAAAGGTGAGACAGCCCGATGACCGGGGGGGGGAGAAGTATGCCACTGTCATCACCCTCGCATAGTGTTTCTTTCATTATCAGTACAAGAACACCTGCAACATTCCTGGTTTTGAATTTTATTTGGCATTTGCTTGTAATACACAGTATCGCTGCAGAAGCAGGATGCAGAGGGAAGCACACCTTTCATGTTCAAATATTTATGCGTATCCATAGACATACTATCGGTTGCAGGAATGGCATCTCTCAAACTCTCCTCCTCTCTCTCTCTCTCTCTCTCCCTTTTTTAAAAAGACTGCTGCAGCCTTAACATTTTCCTTGCAATTGCTTGGGGCTGGTGAAGAAAAGGAGCAAGTGGCACCTTCTACAGACTTTCTACACAACTGCTTCGCAAACACTGGGAGTCCTTTCCAAGGAGACAGGGAATCTCCGTGGAGGCTTAAGTTTTAGTAGCTGTGTCTCTCTCTCTCTCTCTCTCTCCCTTTTTTAAAAAGACTGCTGCAGCCTTAACATTTTCCTTGCAATTGCTTGGGGCTGGTGAAGAAAAGGAGCAAGTGGCACCTTCTACAGACTTTCTACACAACTGCTTCGCAAACACTGGGAGTCCTTTCCAAGGAGACAGGGAATCTCCGTGGAGGCTTAAGTTTTAGTAGCTGTGTTAGTCTGTGCCAGCAAAAAGAAAGAAACATTAAAAAAGACAAGAGCTTTGTGGCATCTTAAAAACTAATTGCTATATTTCATTGGGAGGTTTGACAGACAAGTCCATTTCCTCAGACGTAAGAGTGGGACTACATGGCCAACACATATACTTTTATAGACGGCCTCAAAACATAGAGACTGTTCGTTGCCTGGGCACAAGTTGTTGAAGGTGTGGCATTTCACCCCTGGCAATGTCCTTTGGATGGAATTGCTGGAGAACTCAGGGGTTGAGGTCTCTGGCTGCAGGGCCAGAGGTTGGGAGTTCAATTCCCCCACTGGGTGCCCTTGGCGGGGGGTAGACTAGATGATCCAGAGGGTCCCTTTGCAGCTCTGCAGTTCTAAGACTATGATTATATTCAGTTCCCCTCCCAGAAATCATTGTTCTGCAAACAATGACAAAGATTGGCAGCTAGTTTCCATAGTCACGTGGCCAGCGCGACTAGATACGGAACGCTGTGACCTTCCCATCACGGTGGTACCTATTTAACTACGCATATTTTTACATGCTTTCAAACTGCTAGGTTGGCAGGAGCTGGGACAAGCGACGGGAGCTCCTTCCGTCCCGTGGATTCGATCTTACGACGTCTGGTCTTATGACCTTGCAGCACAGAGGCTTCTGTGGTGTAACCCGCAGCGCCACCCCGTCCCCTTCCGCTACTGTAGGACAGCATTAATTGTTAACTCTCAGCCTGTCCACCAAACAAGAGATCCAGGCTGCATTCACCATTCTGGAGAATTTTCTATTATCTTTCCCAAGCAGCAGGCTGCTGTCCACTGCTTACCTGCTGCTGCTCATCTCCTACCACCAACAGAAAGAGCTCAAGGAACCAGAGGCTCACTCAGAGAAAACCACTCACTGTGAAGGTCAAACGGGCATCTAGCTTGTTACTGATAAACCAGTTAGGAACTGGAAACCCTAGAAGCATGACTTTGGACCCCAGTTTGTTCAGCAAATCAAAAGCCTCTATTCAGATCCAACTCTTTGCTTTTATTTCCTGGTGAACATTTGGTTATTCAGCTGCTGCAGCTAGCAGATGGAACCGAGAGGAAGCAATCAGGTAATTGATCCCAGCATTCTGCTGATGGATGATTTAATTTTCAGTGTGATTCGGGTTGAGGTCTCTGGCTACAGAGCCAGAGGTTGGGAGTTCAATTCCCCCACTGGGCCTCCTGCAAGTAGAGTCAGCTTGTGTAGCCTTGGGAAGCTGCACCGTCCCAGGGCACCTCCAGAAGAAGGCGATGGCCAACCACTTGCGAGTATTCTCTACCTGGAAAACCCTGACAATGGTCGGCATAAGTCAGAATGGACTTGCTGGCAAATGATGATGATGATGATGATGAAATGTGATTACAGTTTTGACTAAATGCAGCACTGTGTGCTGACAACATTTGAATGGAGGGAACTGAAGAGGAATGAGTATAGTCTTTGTGACAGGCATGTTGTTGGGGAGAATGCACGGCTAGATGACGGCAACTGAATTGCTCATTTTGATTAACAACAGCTCATGAATGGCAGCGTTTCCACACAACCCGTAGCTATCACCTTCAGAAAACAACGAACCCGTCTGATATCCCTTCAAGACAAGGTGAGTCTACAGTGCCGGCGTGCAAAACAACAGAATCGTGCAACACAAAAGTATCACAAATATATTTTATCAAAGAAAAGAATACCTGAAAAAGGTGACAAAGAACTGCACCAGGTCCATAAAGTTGCTGTGCTGAGAAAAAGCTATCTGTGAAGAAAGAACAGAAACAAATTGCAATTTAAAAACTCTGGTTGCAAATTAGTGATGTTGTTTTCCTGAATATCAGCAGAAACGTCTTAACTGTTAGAGCAGTATGACAATGGAACCCATTACGTCGGGAGGTGGTCAGTTGCTCCAACACTAGAAGCATTCTGTTGGATATGCGTTGACTTGGATTCCTACACTGAGCATAGGGTTGGACTTGACAGCTTTATAAGCTCCTTCCAACTTGACTATTCTATGATTCTACTGTCAGAATTGCTGTCACAACTAAATCTCTATAGAAAACATGATGATAGCACTCAACCCATGAAACGTGCTGTTCCATTTACAGATTTAAGAGTGACCCAGTGTTTCTGAGTTGAAGAGCTCAGAATGCATGAAAGAATCAAAGGCCCCACTGTAACGAAATGAATAAAATAATAGCAATATCATAAACATACACCTCTCAGAACACAATCAGCATCATTAACAGGGCCTTCTTTCTCCCACAAACTCTGTGAATCTCAACAAGAACGACTTGGTGGGGTTCTAAGGCAGCCCCAGACCCTAAACGGAGACATTTCTTTATCAGAAGGAGAGTCCTGAAACAAAAAGACCAATAAGCGACATGATCTCTCCTTAAACCAGGCTGAGGAACCTCTGAGACAAACCCTCTTGCAGAGCCCTCTGCGGGTGATCCTCAGGACCTGCTCAAAAGGAGTCTACCCCTTGTTTCCAATAATGTTTCATTGCCTGCATCCTCAGAGATTTCGGAGTCCTCTTTGGAAAGTCCACCAGCAGCAGGCATCCATCTAACTGTTGCCACCATGGAGAAGCAACAGTAGATTTATCACACGAACCGTAGCACCTCAAGGGATGTGGAGAAAAAGAGAAAACTGGACCCTCTGTCAGATCTGCTTTGACTTGGGGGGGCTGGACTCGAGGACCTTACAGGTTCCTTGCAGCTCCATGAGTCTACACCGCCAAGCTTCACACAGCACATCATTAAAAGTTGGAATTCGACAGCACAAAGTTTTAAAAGTTCCAAAGGAGCAGTTGGGAGAAACAGGTGGATGATGGGTCTGTCTGCTATTTGTTATGCTTCATGATACTAACCTACCCATTTCTTCCTGTGGAGAACTGGTTGGCCATTATGGAAAGTGAATAATAGAACTAAGAGTTAGACATTTACTCAAAAGTACTCCAGTCCAAACTAGAGCAGGGTCTCCATAGCTGCACTATCCAAAATCTGTTTC